TGTAAGGTAAGTCAGTGAACCTGTGAAATACCACATAGCATTTTCACAATGATTTCAAGACTCTCTCCAGTGTTCCTCCATGAAACTTTCTGTTTTGATGCCATGAAATAACTCCTTTGTTACTTTTTGTGTTTGTTTTTGGCTGTTATGTAATTTTTCCACTTTTGTTTCATGTAATTGTTTATTTCAGAAACACTACTCACTCCTCTGTACCACAAAGATTTATCACCTCACATGCATTCTTGTGTAAGTTCCTAGATATGCCACAAGCCTTGAACAAAGCTCCCACCCTACCTATACGAATGTAAATTGCACCAGTCTATAATGTAATCATCATTAGACTGTAGCCCTCTACCGGTAGGAGGGCAAAATATCCTCATATGCAGTAAACCCCATGAGCCACTAGCATTTCAATGTAGAAACATAGACTAATTCTTGATGAGGCAAATTAAATGCAACAGAAGTGAGGAGGGAGGGTGGGAGGTGTTACAGAGAGATGTGTCTGTCTGAAATACATTTTCAGGTAATGAAAATGTTAACTTCAGAAAGGCTTGTTGCCTTTCTGCACCAAAAAGAATTAGAATTCCCACATTGAAGATGGTGAAGGGGCCAGTTCAAGTTTCTCATTGTATATGGCCTCATAGGATCACCCCCTCTTCTGTTTCTTGTCCACAATCCCCACCCCTTTTTTAAGGACTGGTCATTACAGGTTTTGAAGGTAAGATGTTTCTGGAGCCACCTCTCTGTTCCAGTCCTGAAGGAGCTCTGCTCTACCACTTGTCCACTGTTTGATTCTTTTGTCACCAGCCTGGTGAATTTCTAATTTGCATTCTTAGCTTATTTTTCTGTACTTCTACTCTACACCCTTGTTTTAAATGCCATGGAACAATTCCTCAACCCCACTATGAGATTTTACTCCTGTTTTTTTACCATTCTCATGATAATGGGAAATTGTTGGTCATATATCAGTCTGTCCCACTTGACCCAACCTTGACCTTTCTCCTGCTCCTGATTGTCAGTTTTCTCACTATTTGGTGGATACTCTTTTTTTTTTTTCCAGTGTTGGATGACCCAGTTTTTGGTCTCAGACACTCTCTCCACATCTTTGTTTGTCTGCTTTTTGTTTCCTTCAGTTCACTTGCAATGGTCATAAATTTGGTTTGAGTTGGCTATGGGCCCATATTTTCTGTCTGATTTTGTTAGGTTTTTACACATAGCTTACATTCTTCAGTCCTGTTGTTCCACTACTCTGTGAATGTTTGACCTCTACTTTCCCCTTCCAACTTGACTTCCTCTGTTGTGAACTCCCTTCTCCTTTGGGGTGACTGGTTTGGCTTTCCATTTCTGTCTCAACCCCTATCCTATATTTTATTCAGTTGGGAGTCTCTCTAATTTCATGTGCAGGGCAAGCTCAGCCTATGTCTTTGTTTTTGTGACATGGATCTTTTGATACTAGGCTATCATTGCATCTATATTTCCTGCATGAATCTTTTTTGGAGAATTTCTCTTCTTTTGAGTCAAATCTTCCTTTTGGATGTGCCCATATGTGTCCCCTTCAGTGATTTTTGCCCTGTCAGTGTTAGTATCTCTAGACATACACTGTCTTTTTTATCTCTTTGTTGTGGCTCATTCAACACAACCCTAGCCATCCCTCTTCTCCAACCTCACCAAGGCTTGTATCTGTTAGAGCCCTTCAGGGTTCTTAAGTGACTATGCAGGCTCCTTCTGCTTCCATATGTGGGTTTCCATTTCTATGGTGAAAATAGCACAGGTGTCATTTTCTTTTGGCTTTGTGCTTGTCATCAACCAACCCTATGGCCCCACTTTTCCACTGCCTCTGTAGTTTCTTCTTTCTCCTGACAGGAAGGTACTTGTCCCATGGACCTCTGTTTTGTGGCTTTGGAGTTCTAGCTCTTTGTAGTACAGAGAGGTGAGTAGCATTTCTGAGGTTAACATTTTCCTTACCTGAAAGCATATTTCAGATAGATACTCACTCACCACTCTGCACTACCTCTCACACTTCATTCCCCCTTCTATTGCATTGAGTTTGCCTCATCAAGAATGAGCTTATGCTAGTGCTCATGGGGATTACTGCACATGAAGGATGTGTTGCACTCCTATTGATGGAGGGCTATGGCTTGACGGTAATACATAACGTGCTGACATAATATGCATTAACATGTCTAAGGGTGGGAGTATTGTTCAAGCCTTGGGGCATACACAGGAATTTACACAGCAGTGCTCTTTGTGGTGCAGAGAAGTGAGTATCTATCTGAAATACATTTTCAGGTAACTTTTATATATGGAAACATCTGTTAGCTCAGTTCATGTACAGATATTAAAATATAACGTTGATAAATGGGAAACATCGGCACATGTAGATATGTAGATCTTGAAAGTCGAGTTGTTCAAAACTTGAAAATAGCGTTGATAACTGGTCCAATTGTTGGTTGAGATGTTGCAAAGGAAATATCTGCTGAAGCTTTTCGCCAGACACTAATCATATCAGAACCGTTTGGAAAATGATCTATAGGAAATAGTATAGCTTATAAAATGAGTCAGATCAACGTAGGCCGGTAAAGCAATCATTGATTGGCATGTCCTTAAGCCAATCAGGAAATGTCACAGACCTACAGTCGGATGTGTAGATTGTATAGGAATTCTTTTTGGTGGCAAAGTGCAGGTTTAATAACGTCTTGATGTGTTTTAATAAAGGTGGCTTCCAAAATATGGAG